CATATATTGAATACTACAGAGAGATTTATGGAGAAGGCCATATGACCAGTAATGTCCATAACCTATGCCACGTAGTAGAGGAGGTAAGGAGATTCGGGATATTATCTTCATTCGATGCCTATCCTTTTGAGAATACTTTGCATCATAAGCGACTACTGAGGAGTGGCCATAAACCTCTACAGCAGGCTGCGAAAAGATTAATCGAAAAGACTAATATTTCAACTTACGGAAATTGAAGAGGTCCCTCACATACACTAACAAACATAAAGACAAAGATTAAAAGATTTGATAAGTTTGATTAGAAAGCAATAAATCAGAAATACACTTTTACAAAACGATTGAACTTGAGAAATATTCAGTAGGTAAGCAATGATGGTATCAATTGTTGTTTTCTTACTAATCATTATACAATATCATTATATTATTGTCAAGCTGCACTGTGTAGTTAATATAAATCAACATTATTATTTGTATGGAACACAATAAATCTATTTAAACATATAAATACTGGCTCTTTGTGGTATTTGTAGCACCGAAAAATAACATAAACGCAAAAACACCTTCTTCTTATGCCAGTCTGATAAACTCTGGTAGATAATTACGAGAAAAAATAGTTTATAAATATTCCATTTTATAGATTACCATAGGATCGTTATAAGAACAATTCTACTATTAAAAGATTAATTCTTCTGATGAAAGTGCAAGTTGACTTGTCATGCTCTTAAAATGACCTTTTAGGAGTAAATCATCTAATCAAAACTTATTTATAGATAATTTAATCTAGACGCCATTTTTATTAATAGAACACGACGGTAATCGCCACTTTGGTAAAAATTAGAAATTTTGTTAACAATAAAATATGGTATTTCTTCATTTCTAAACATAAAAATACTTAAATAAATTAAATTTTAATTAAAATATATTGTTTGCGTATTTATTTTAACAAAATATAAAAAAATGAACACCAATAATATTGTTTATTATAAAATTATCAGTTAAATTATACGAATATACTAGGCCTGTGAGTTTTTTGAAACTCTTTCTTTGACTTTTACGATAAAATTAATTTGGCACTGAATTTACACCCTCCGTTCGCGCGAAACAAAATTTAGAAGATCAAGAAAAAATATATATTAAATTTCATTTCGCCATTAAAGCTACAACTTAAAATATTTTTAAGTATGGAATGCTTTTTAAAAGAAGTAACTCTTGTTGATATTTTTATTTAGTAGATTTTGATTTTTAGTGGTTTTAAAAAAAATCACCACTAGAACATCAGTAGAGTCATGGTGTTATCTTAATGCTGGCTACAAAACTTAATTCCTATCTTATGTGTCTCTTATTGTGTTCTTAAGGTAGTTTTGTAGATATTCCCTATAGATAAATATGAATTGCTCTTATCGTTATCTAATGATGAATTCTTATGCTGCTCTTGTTATTATAGTACCTATAGATAGTTGCCCATTTTTACTGAACTCGGTATATAGGATATCTTCAGGATATCTTCAGGGATTATTTACTCTTATGCAAGAATTCTAAGTTTAATTCTATAAAATATCTAATAGTGCTTCACTAGATATACTTGTGCTACTTGGGTAATAATGCAAGCTGACAGATAAGTTTCTATATGTATATTGCAAAATAAATAAAAAACCAACTGATCATAACGTATGTTTATTGTATGACAAGTAATATCGTTGTTTGACAAACATGCGTCACAAATCATTTTAATTAGTATTAAATATTAAAAACAATACATCAATTGACTAGTGAGGCACACGTTGCGATGTACCCATGCGTGCAAAACCCTGTCTAAATTATTATTTTTACGTATTTACAGTAATATCAAACTTATGGCACACACAATAGGACACAAAATAAGTTTTAAGAATTGGTTGATTCGATCTTCTTCAAAGACTTAAATAAGTGCAGGTATCTGCAAATATTAAAATTGATGATAGATATCGGCAAAGAAATACGTGTAAGTGAAAGTGCCAATCTGAGGTGTCACAAGAAAATTACATTTACCCGTCCGTCCGTCCCGTCCGTCGGTATAATATTCTTCGTCATCTTGTTCATCATTCGTCGTAGTTAGTCATTCGTCGTCTTGTTCTCACAGAATAAAGACAGTTCTACGACTAGGCACTAAGATTATCAACATTATAGATTGACTCTGACACTTGTATGTAATCTTGAGGTTTATAACACATTTAAGATGCGGTTAGAAATTTTAATAATCATTATTTTATCTATGTTTGAGAAGCCATTATTTATATTTCTGGAAAACTATTTAATTTTGCTTATATGCTCAAAATTCTAAACTACTGCAGCTTGTAAATTGTGAAGGCATTTTTAATATGTATATTATAGATGTTTCTGTACTATTTACTCGTAATTGTGTGTACTATGACTAGTTGTAGACTATTATAAAATCTCATTGCCGTGTACAATTCAAGTGCCAATCATTCAGCAATAATAAAAACCGATTACATAAATACTTTAGCAAACTGCAAATATCAGCTACATCGCTAAAACAAAAGAAATTAATGCACCTTTTAAACATCGACTTCTGTGATAAAATAAAACTAATGTACCTAAAACGTTTAACACTAAAAACTCTTTTAAGTCAAATAATTAAGAAAAATAGAATAATATTTTCTTAAATATCGAAGGCTAAGGTTTTTATATTTGCTTCAAATAATTTGGATAGTAGCATATTCATCTAAGCTAAAAAGTAACACTTTAAGAACTTCACATAAAATTAGGTAAGTAATTTAGTCACCAAAATTTGAAATGATCTTAGTTATATAGCGTTTTATATATCGTTCATGTGATAAAATAGAATAGCATTTCTTCTATTAAGCATTCACAAATACCTTTATATTAATTTTGTGATGATATACCTTTATTTACAAGTCCTACACTACATAACACAAAACAACATCAAAAGTATAATATTGTATTTTATAATATGTCTCTCTCTTTCTCTCCATATTTTGTCTCTACTCGCTTGTATTTATGATATAGCCATAATTGCATAATTGTATATTCCTTTTTCGACTTTTAATAATAATACACACGCAAGACGGAAAGACGGATCTGAATTATTTGAAGCAAATATAAATGGTAGACCAAACATATCACACACACACTTTTACAAATATTTTTAAAACTAGCGTTCTCTTGGCGACTAAGCCTGCTTGCACACGACGCCATCATATACCACGAAGCACTTTATTTATATTGGCGACAATTAATATATTTTACAATAATCGCCATCGAGTTCTTGAATACAAAAAAAAATCTCACTTATCATAGGTCGGCTCAGTGACTAAATAATGGTTGCTGTATCTGTACTGACCAAATCTTGATAAAATTGATTGATTTTATTACGTTTCCAATCTTACAAAATGAATTAAGTAGTTGACTGTGTTTATGTCTATACATGCTAGTTGCGCTCTCATCCAATACGCATACTTCGTGTGCGAATGGGCTTAGGCCTTACAGGGGAAAAAATGGTGTCAATCAAGTCACCGTATATGAAATGGCGTTAAAATACCTTTGGCCGTTTAACGTGATCGAGCAACCAAAATACAATATTTATTCGTTTAATTACAATTAGTGGCAATTAATAGTTAGTTAGGTATGTGTTATAACTTTTCGTTAAAATCTATTAGTAGAGGGGAGCCATAAGACATATTTACAATGTTTTTTTTTGCATTCAGAGGTAAGTTATTTAGTTAAAAATACTGTTTTTTTTTTTTTTAATTAAATAATTATGAAAAGGTCTAACATGTCGTCTGAACTAATTTGAATTTATGAACTTTATCATTAACAACTCAACATTTTAATGAATAAAAGTTATACTTACTTAAATTAAAATAACAAAAAAGCTTTTAAATTACTTAAATAAAAACCAAAACTTGATCCAAAAAGTTAATATCTCTAACAACAAGGCATCTGACTTATTTCTGTTAAGCTTCTGTATTAGATTAGATTTTCGGTTTTGTTGTTTTGATATAAAGTCGAAAATCCAATAAAAGATAGTTAATTTGACCTGCTGGCTGTTTGTTCTGTCCACGTGTCGATTAGAAAAAGCTTACATGCTAGTTGACTACTTAAATCGACTACCCGAATTTCAAACGTATTTTCCTATATACAGAAATCATAAAATGTACTTTAAGTCACTATGTCACAATTCCGGATGAAATCCAAAATAACTTCTTCGATAATCGACATTCAAAATATACATAAAGGCATAATTTTAATCTTAAATGTGACTGAGTATAAAAATACTGTTTATTATTGTGATGTCTAAGGGATGACGAAAAAATTTACAACTAGTAGATTTATTAAAAATATTAGACACGATTTTTGTTTCTCACACTTTTAACGATGTATCTATGTAACCTTATGCGTTTTATGTATTGCTTACTTATTACAACAAAAAATGTGTCTAATTTTTTGTTTCTAACTGATGGACTGCATAATAATATAAGGGTGCGTCCACATCTGGCGAATGTGCCGCGAATGCGCAGCTCGCGAGCCGTTTGCGAGCTGCGCGCGTGCATTCTTGTTCGTGCGCCGCTCCTGCGCCGCCCGCGCGCTGTTCGCGCTCATCCTGAGCGCCGTTCGCGATAAGCGCGCGGGCGGCGCGCTAGTTATTAAATAATTCATAACTTACCCGCTCAGTTCGTTTCTGATTAGTGGAGGCTAAGTGCGTGTTGTCATGGAGTGGGCGGAGGAGAATCGTTTACGCTTTATTGAAACGTATAAAAGATATCCACTGTTATGGGATCCTAAAGATAAATATTATTATAGAAAAAATCTAAAAAATAGGCTAGAACTGAGTGCGCGCAGATCGTGCGCGGCTCGCGCGCTCTATACGAGCCTTGCATGAGTTGCGCTAAAGAGGCGCACCAAACCATTGCAGTGATTGCACGCGCGCAGCTTGCGGGCAGGTCGCAGTCGGCTCGCGAGCTGCGCATTCGCGGCACATTCGCCAGATGTGGACGCACCCTAATGTTTGATCGCTTTACCTCCCATTCCTATTTGTATATCTATCTTTATTTTCAGTGATGTGGTTATGGCTACTAGTAATACTAAATTCATGATTTCCAATGTAATCTGTTGTCATAAATGTCTGGACTAGTTAGAGGTGTCAGGAGGAAACACCATAGGCCGAATCCTAAGAGAAAATTGCATACAATGAATACCCGTTGCAGAGGTGGGAACTCTGTTATTTCCGAGAAGTTCGGGAATCCCATGTGATTGCAAAACATGTGGGCGACTAGAGGAGCCATGAAGTGTCCTGAAAAAGAAAAATATAGGTAAGAACTTTGTTTGTTTTGTTTGTGTATATATAGAAAAATAAGGTCCTGCCTTGTATGTGATGACAGCAAGTGGGATTTTAAAGGATATAAGAAAATGTAGAGATATGAAAATATTTAAATGTATTTGAATTTTTGAAATATTAAGACTAATCAACTATGTGTTGTGTAACGAAAGATTTATTATATTATTTATTACTTAAAATTGTTGTTAAATTTACTGCAAAAGATTTGATATCGTTTAAATGCAAAATATAATATAAATACTACTTATATCAATTAACATTTACGCACCTGTTCTCACAAACAAATACGCTGAATAAGCACCAAACAAACTTGTATACATGAACTGGAATGCTGAAAAGAAAAAAAATATATAAATCGTAACAATAAAGATTATTATCCCACATCATTGTATTACGATTTTGCAGCTGTGCCATTACAATACATTGACTTAATTACGGAGCTAAAGCTATATATGAGTGTGTTTACAAAAAACAAATAAAAAATCAGCTACACTAGACACCCAGACACCGAAAACATCAACATTAATAGTTCTTGGTTGCATTTATAGTATTGCATATAAGTGTACCAATATTATAAAGTGGTGGAATTAGTAAATTTGTATGTAGGGGGTAATCTTCGGGACTACGGGTCTAATTTCGTAAATTCATTCACTGATAGATAGCTAGATAGTGTTCCTAAATGATCTATAGGAGCTGAGCAGCGAGTAAAAACGCCCGAGAGTACTTAGTAGGTGTATAAAATCTGCACTAAATGGATAAATACACAAAGTAGTGAAATAATTGCAATATTTAAGTTCGGTTCGCTATTAATTAAAGTAACGAGTTTGTATATACACGCTATCCACTAATTAAAATTAATATGAAATGTTTACATGTGCAAATTCAAAGTATCATGATGTTGCTGTGTTTTTCCTGTTGTCAAGGAAAACTGACAAGTATTTCTAACTATTACTTACACAAATACCTAACAAACATTACACCTAAACTAGTAACGAAAATAATGATAAAAAATGCTTTTTATTTATTGCATTTTAATTCCGAAGTGAGAAGTCATGTAAGTTCGTTTATTATTTCTCCTGTGACACAATTCCCAGTTAGTTTAATATTGAAGAGGCCCTTCTAATGAGTAACAGATGATCATTATGTCGTAACAATTGGCTAGAGATACTGAATACTTGCCAAAATTGTTCTTCAACCACTAAATTACCAAAGGGTATATACCATAGTAATTACTAGATTCTGCCAGCAACTTTACCATCATTACCAGATTAAAAGTAGCCCATGTATTATGTATTATTTACACACTAATTCAAATCTATCTAAGTGTAAAGTTTTCTTCAAATTCTTTTGATGATTATTGAGTGATCATCATTTTGATTTTATTAGTGGTACAAATTTGCAAATCAATAATCATTGAAACTACTGACCCAATTTTACTGAAAATTTGTACTCATACACAACAACACACTCATCTCAACAAGTACATTTTCGAAATACAAAGAGTATTTCGAAAATGTACAATCAAACAGTTTGCAATCATCAGTTCTTGTTGTATTATACCAACCCCTTTTACCCAGAAATAAGAAGTGTATACACTATCATAATTGTGTTACTTAATATTACTTTTGAATTTCAATTTTAAAATTGGTTTCCATGCGCGAAGCATATCCTTATAACACTTGCTTTGTAATAAAGTCGAAAATCTACTGAAGACTCACAATGAGATTGTTATATGCTCATGAGCTAGTGAGTTAATAGTAGTGTAAATAATGTAAATAACTTACTTGAGATCATAAGAGCTGTCTTCAATTCTAAACCAGCTTTCATCTGTTCAAATATATGATGGAAATGGGCTGAAACAAAAATATTTTGCATATTTATTTATTTCACATTGTATAAATAGTAAAGATTTTATTATATAAATTAAATTCATGTCTAATAATTTGCTTCAGCAAACATATAGAGAAATGAATTTGTTTGGTGATGGCTTATGATTAAAGCAGATTTATCATGACCATCATTATAAGCCCACCTTTGAGCAGCCTTTGTCTCAAATGGAAGTGTTTTTAGAATTTTTGACCACACTTACTCAAGGTGGATTGATCATTTTTTTTATTAGATTCCAGCTTTTTTTCGCCATGTATCAGTGATGTCTAAATAATTACAATTAAAAACAGTAAATTTATTATTTGCAAGATTTAAAATCTTCACCACATACATTTCAAACTGCATTAATGCTTAATTCAGATTGAAATCCATTAATAACAAAATTATAATTTAAGTTTTGAGCACAAGTTGCATATATAACAAAATATACAACAATAATACATTCACCTGTATTTAATCTCATATTTTGTTCTTATCTGCTATGCATATACTTTTATTTGGCAGTTTCAATTAAAAATCTCTTTGGTCAGTTATCATAAAATTTAAGATTTTTATCATTTTTGAAACTGATTTGTTACTGACTGAATACTGTCAAAACTACGGATAGTGATAAGGTAATCTTATTGAATTGATAATATAAGGAAATAATAGTAAATGTAAGTAGATTAAGTTATTCTGTAAAAGGTTTAATATGATGACTCACCAATGCCAAAGAGTAGAGGCCCAACAAATACAGCTGTCATTGGGTCAACACATTGTAGTAGCAGAGGTATCATACAAGCTCTGAACACCCACTCCTCACTCAGTGGGGCCATGACATGATTCCTCACCCACACAAGGTCTTGCCAGCTGGATAGCCAATATATTGGTTCTATGTAGCAGAAATAAATGTTAAATAAATACATTGACACTAATTGAGTATTGAACAAAGTATTAGAAATCCAAAGTTATGAATGAATTAAAAATATTTAGTTTAGATCACCTGCATAGAGTTTCCATATTCCTGATAAAAACTGCATGGTTAATGGTCCCATAAACAATGTAGCAGTCAAGAATAGTGGCGCAAATATCGCTGGTATAAGACCAGACCATCGCAATCCCAATTGCATGTACAAGTCTCCTTTACTTAAAGTTTCTTCGGTGAAAAAATATTGAATAAAAATTGGAGTTAATAACATTATAACGGACACGCTGAAGAATCTTCTCTTTATTGTAGTCGGATGGTCTCTAAACAAACAAATACATTAGAATAGTAAAAATGTTTACTTTTTTTCAATCATAAATCAAATAGGAAAATTTTTGATAATTTACCTGCTCAATGTAGTTCTCCATACATACAAACTCCCAACATAACAAAACGTAAGAAAAACACATGCCAAAACTGACCAACTACACTGATTTATACCAAGCCAGTCTAGGAATATCATGTTTAATTTTATTAATTCTTAATAAATAGTCCAAATTACATAAAATATTTTGAGATATAGTACCAAAACACTTTCAAGACATCAAGGAAACAAATTGACAGCTTGACACATTTCTTTCCTTATTCAATGACAAAGAGTAAAACACAGATAACATATATAAGAAAGTGATGATTACGAGTATATAGTCGATGGTAATACGCTTTGTTAATTAATATCAAGCGTATATCAAGCTACTTATACAACTTCCTTAATTAATATATTAAGCAAAGAGATAAAAGAAACAACTGAGTATATAGTGTTGTCGACAGCTTTACTTTACTCATTACTAACAGTAACTGTGACAGCAGATGAACCGTCTAGTTTTAACGTTTCTCTACTTTATAAATAACTAAAAGATACATACATAATATCAATTAGGCATATTACTCAAAACATTAATTGAAATTACTACAACATCCTTCTAACAAACCGTAGCAGCCTTTTGGCCCTTTTTTATATATTTTTTCTTACTATATCACCAAAATGCAATATAAAAGATATAAGTTTTATGACTTAATTATGTTATAGGTATCAATAAACTTCAAGAAAAAAATTGCCGTAACTTGCAGTAAGTTTTTGCTCTTCAGATCATAGACCATCACTAAAGCATTTAATACCTAAACTTACAATGATCACACCATCACACCATCCACTACCACGACAAGAATTTATACACTCAGCCCTAACAGCGACAGCGACACTCCATCATCTACGCATTTTAGATGGATCAGGGGTTCGATACCTTTTTATCAACAAAGTATAACCTACCTACCTATCAGATTTGTCCCGTCTGAAACGAAACACGGGATTTTCAAATTCATACTTGGTCAATACAATGTCGCAGCAATGCCACAATTTCTTGTTAATTAGGTGGGGAATATATCTCTTCCTTTAGCAAAGTACTCCTTACATTACACCGAAGAAATGTTAAAGGATGGAATAGATAAGTATATTCTATAATCGTAGGTAGCTAGTAGATAGTTTACGTGCAACATGGTCAGTTACAACTTGGACAGAATTTGACAACATTGAACAATATTTATATGTTTCTGGAGTCTTGGTTCCGGATTAAATATTAGCCTGATGGACTTTCCAGTAAGAGCTAGAAATAAAAGACGCGAGGGATTTGGGTTTCAGAAGGAATGCTTTGTATGTTTGGGGTGATATACTTTATGGTGTTGAATCTATGCAGGTTATTGCTTTGATCTCTCATCAGGAGCATGCCTTCCAATGTCCATTCTTGTAACATTTATAGGGCTACCATATCATCATTTTAATATTATTTTGTATTGGTCTACAATAAAAAAAACGTTCATAATTTGAACGCAACATTAAGAAAAAAAAAACAACTTGTTATTTCATAGATGGCGCTGCGATCGGTCGCCATGTTAATCTGAAATCCGCCATATTTTTCTGAGAGTCGCCCATCGCTTGAGGGTAGTGTGGATTTTCATCATAATTTATTCAGATAATAATGAATATTATCAGTTTAATATCATAATTTTAGTGTCAGTGATTAGTGTCGTATTAATATAATAATAGAACTGTCGTCTAGCAATAACTAATGTGGTATAATCTCTGTTTCCCGTTTTGTCTGCCCAATCTAATCTAAACAGAAAATGGCCGACGGTGTTGGTGCGGGTGTCTCCTTTGTTTAGGGCTGAATTCTAGTGCAAATAAGTGTTAATAGAAATAATGCCTAGTGCCTCGTTTTCCTCCTCGCGTTCTTACGTACGTAGATCGCGAAGAAAAGGCGGACATCGGATACCATTACCTTCTAGGACACAATCGAGTAAGTAATCCGGGTCGGCCGAAGTCGCCCCGATCTTTAGAAATGCATCGTTATTCATATTTCCTTGATCATGTAACTTCGAGTTTCACATTAATGCATTAGCAAGTTGTTAAATTGTATAATTATGGCTAATTTATGCAGCTGTGTTAAACATTTGACATTCCCGTTTTATGTGAAAATATTGAAGCTTGGTATTGAATTTTGAATTGGTCGATCATTGTTCCTCGAACATTGATTGACATGTAAATTCTTATTTCACTATGTTCAAAGTTACATGATGATATCGGATAGCGCATTTCAGTGACATTTTGCGCAATATGGGTATTGATTTGCTAGATGAAAACTTATTTTACTCAGAATGACGAAACAGCTGTTCTGATACAGAACCGAAGAACAGATGTGTTTGTGTGCAGTTACGAAACTTCTTTTCATTTCAGTTCACACACATTGAATGTGGAAGTACTTGTTTATTTTTTACCTTCCATTTTTATGCCATATATCTATATGAACTATGTATTTGCATGACATTGAATCCTGTCAAAATCTAGAAAGGACACTTTGCAATAAGCACTGGAGGCAAAGTTAGGATAACTTTATGTATTTGTATGCAAATTAATTGTGATTTGTATTACTCCAATATTAAGATGTATGGTAATTTAGAATACTGAATATGTAGAGATTTTCTACTAAGGTGGGTAAGTGAGTTTAAGGTACCTATTTTATTAATGCCATAACTACCTGCCTGTCCAAAACCAGTTCTTAGTTTTTTCTTTTGAATGAAAACCAAACTATGTTGTGCCTCTGTATTATTTATTAATGAGAATGTCAAATGATTTTAATATGTACCTTTGTTCCCATGAGATTTATTGTTATATTATTTGTTGAGTCATGAATATTTTAGTTGTATATAAATAAATATTTGAAATCTGCTAATTTTGAAGGACATTCAATATCAGGAAGTACAAGACTGTGTTATTGATATTTTTGCATAATTCCTCCAACCTTGACAATGCATACCAGTTTTGAATCAACAAACTTTGATTCTTATGGTATTATCCATGCTAAATAAAGTTAGATAACAAAAGTTAAGATGCCAATAAGATAAAGCTCTATTAAGCCATAAAATAAATTATTCACAATGTTTGATATATAAAATATTAATCAAACCTATGTGAGACAAAAAAAATGCCTTGGCAATCTGAATCCATAAATAGTGTGTACATATACTCACTCAGCTCTTAAAAATAGGAAAACACATGAAATAATCAAATATAAGTCACAATTAAAATTCAATGTAATAAATTGTTTGTGTCACTAGTAGTAGGTATTACAATAATCAAACCAATTCATTCATAGAAGTGAATCATTACCACAATATTATACAAAGCCCTCTAGCTACCAAATATAAAAATAAAATCTAAATATAAAGTTTCCAAGATAGCAAATATGTACACTAATTACAATCAGATCTAAAATAGGTCAAAAAGATTTGGCAGAATATCAAATTGCTTAAACTACTTTCTAATATTGCTCTAACAGTAGTAGTAAGTAGTACTATTGTCTGATTTAGATCTCCTTGCAAATAACCAGAACATGTGAACCATGGACTCGTAAAACTATGAAAATTCATTAGAAAGATGTTAGTGCATTGTTCTCATTAGATTAAGTTCAACATTAAAAATATTAATATTTTAATTGATTATTCAGTTCAGTTTCAGGCCAAGTATTATCAGTAATTAGGTAATTGTCTGGCCAATGTTTATCAATAAAACGGTTATGTTGGTATTTTCTAATGGCTTATCAGTCCCATAAAACTGATAAGTGTTTTGTTTGTAAACAACAGAATTTGCCTCTGCTATACCATGACCACTTGAAATTATAGATAAGATAAATGTTTAAACTCCCACATATTGTGTAAAAAGAAAACAAGTCAACTAATTATTTTGCACATAAGGTGCTTTGTTTTTATTGTACTCTATTTTGCAACTTCAATGTATACTATGTGATTTTCATTTAGATTTTTGAGTATTAATGAGATTGAACAATTTACATATTATTATCATTTTAATATTATGAGTCATAGAGATTAATTGATATACATATATTTTGTATCTTTAGACACATCATTCTATATAAACTTTAAATTGGAATTACTATATATTTGCAGGTGAGCCATGTGAATCAGTCCCTTGCCCAAACAACGTGACGGGCAGCGCGATGGCGGCGACGGCGGCATGCGCGGGTGCGAGCGGTAGCGGAGGCGGTGGTGCCCCGCCCGTGCCCGCGGCCGCTGCAGCCAGCACCCCGGGCCACCACAGTCCCTACGACCTGCGCCGCAAGTCGCCGCCAGCCTACCACGAGCCCGGCCCCTCGGGCACTTGCTCTCTACCCGCTAGGAAGAGGCCGAGAACGTAAGTGATGACAGTAGCCAGTTGCCAGTTGTTATCATCAGCTTTCTTCAATATTAATGCACATAGTTCTGAGTTTTTGACCATTATTGTCATCTATAGCCGACCATAGCGGGCAAAATGTTAATAATCATTTTTCATCCAATTGCTGTCAAGTAATTTATAATTAGTTAAAATATTGAGGGGTAATGCGTGATTTATTTTATTGGTGCTGTTATTTTATTAAAACCATGTGTACATTTTCCTCACAGATCTCTATCTCAAGGAGTGGATGTATGCAATGTATCACAGTACTTGCAGTATGAGTTGCCAGACGAAGTGTTGCTGTGCATTCTCTCACACCTCACAGAGCGGGACCTGTGTCGTGTCGCTCAAGTCTGCAAGCGATTCAACACGATCGCTAACGACACTGAGCTATGGTAACATACATATTTTTTCTTAAATTCATAACATTGCTGTCATATAGTTTTTTTATGCGGCAGGTCGGCAAACCAACATGGGTTATCTGATATAAGGGTGTGCGATCGCCGACTGCATTACTGAGGATGCTGCATTAAAGGTGTTGCCCTTTGGGGGATTAGGATTTTGGATAATTAGGGATGGAGGAGGGGGAGTATTGTTCCTCTGGTAACCTCACTCACACGGCGAAACGAACGACGCTGTGATTGTGTCAGTCTGTGAGGCCATGGTCTCATTTCGGGCCGACTCATTCGTCCCGAAGCATGGTTTTCCCAAACTTCTATATAGAAGCCTTATAGAAGAAAAAAATTGTGGTAGTGGGAATAAAGATTACAATAAATTATTTGTTCTACAGGAAAAGTTTATACCAGTCAGTGTTTGAATACGACATGCCACTCATGCACCCGGCGCCGTGCCAGT